CTTCGGGTGGGCTTCAATGTCATGCATATTTTTCAGTAATATTTATAAATAGTGTTAAGGCTAATTCGATTTATATTTAGGTCAATGATACTCCACTTGGTCAAGAGTAATCAGCATCTTGCTGAGCTCGGATTCACTGAGTTCATGAGAATTTGACTTCAATTATGTTAATTATTTGTGTTTTAATACGATGTTGCTACATTAAAACTTATTATAATCCAATTGGTTTGATGATGCTGTGACCAACCAAGCTCAATCAGATTTTTTATAATTGGTGTTTGCCTATTTAGTTTAGTTATGCAAATTTAGCCTAATTAGGCCACGTGGAATTTCAGTATAGAGGGTACTTTAGTTGGATTTCAGACTAATATTCAGTCATAAATATTTTTATATAAGTGGCACTAATTAGACATAAATTGTCTTACTTAGCACAGAGTCAGTAAATAGTAATTAGTATTTTCCAGACCTTGACTACTGTGGGCTCGTGGGGAAGTCGACATAGATTATTCGGCCGTGATAAGGTTTGCCTTGTATCGGCTAATTTTGCACGGGAAGGTTACGGATGAGCATGCACCACCGCGATGGTCTATAGTGGCTAAAATACTCGGCTTCTTACCCACAGGTCACGGGATCGAATCCCGGCTGCGGCGGCTGCATTTCCGATAAAGGCGGAACCGTTGCAGGCCCGTGTGCTCATATTTGGGTGCACGTTAAAGAACCCCAGGTGGTCGAAATTTCCGGAGCCATCCACTACGGCGTCTCTCATAATCATATGATGGTTTTGAGACGTTAATCCCCACATATCAGGTTAAGGATGAGCATCATCAACTTTGCCTAATTAGTTTTGGCTATACGTATTTCAACTCATCTGGGCTGATGTAAGCCTAACTTCGCTTAACATGGAAACGCCAAGCTGGACTGAACTTAAATAATCCAGACGTAAGTATATTTAGTCAAGTCATAAAGTGCTCGACTACATTTGATTAAATTCAGCTACATTAACTTTGACTTAACTAAGCTCATTAGGTGCGACTTGGATTAACCCTACAAAGGCAAACTGGCCCGAGAAAATTTAATTTTGTGCATTTGGCTTCGTCAGGTTGTACGATGCTCGCTATGCTTACTTGTCCTAATCAACCGGTGTCAATAACAACACGAGCCGGCGCTTGAACCGGACCCGTCGCAGCCGCTACGTAAAAGAACGGCACAGATTCGATGGAGCAAAGAAAGCGACACCCAGTTGTCGTTTTGTCTGCGAGTGCCGTAACCGCATCCAACAGAGTGACATGAGAAGCCAAGTGATAAGACGGGGCGCGCATGCGCCCTGCAGCAGGTGTCTCGTCATGTCTCGTCGCTAGATGGCGCGTCGATGCATTCTGCCACGCGATCCCGTGGTCTGCACACTTTTGATCGCACCTGTACATACACATTCTCTTGGTGTTCATTATAACGATCCATGTGCTTCATCGGTACGATGGTAAAGGCACGCATGGCACATGTGTGTCTACATCGTGTCTTCTATATGTGTTATATATATGTTCTCTCGGTGTTTATTACAGGGACGCAGTGCTTCGACGGTACGACATCGCAAAGGCATGCATGCATGTCATATGTGTGCCTGCATAGTGTCTTCTACATGTGTTCTAAAGAAACACATTTTTCGATATTCCTTGTAGTGCTACAATGTTTCGTGCTGCGATCGTAAAGGCGTGCATGTCACATGTGAGGGTGCAAATTCCTAATAGTTCTGCCATACAGGCATAATTTATTTCTCGTATATCTTACTTTGGGTTGCGAATTTTATTGCGTGTGTTCATCTGTGTAATCATTCACACACATTTGTCTTGTTCTTGTTCTAAAGATGGCCGCCTGCAACGTTGGCTTACCAGCTGCGCCACTCTTCCGGAAGGCGTTTAAATGCCAAGCTGGACATCATCTTGTCAAGAATTTCACGTGGCCTGAGCCAGGACAACCTACCGTGGCTGAATCCTTGTAAATGTTTAAGAGCCCTATAGTCACACGAAAAAGACTGGGCCAGAGACGCCTGCACAGAGGCCTAGCTGTGGATTTCACGAATTTTATTACACGCGAACTTTCCAGTGGAACTGATTTATGGACGCTGGCACGCCATAGCGTCTTCTTTTATAGGCGTTGAAGCGATTCTCCCATATTTTTACTGTCTTCCGCTATTATAACATTATGCCAGGCGTTTGTTAAATATAATAAGTTGTAAAATATGTTTCGTAGCCTTTGTTCTTTTCGTGTGCTGCCTTCATCATTTAGCATTATTTCGTCTGCAGATGACATGACTTTCGCTCACCGCAAGCACTGCTGCTGTCAGGACATCGCAGTAGGGAGACCAGCCGCCTCTCAAATCGTGGGGCTGTTGCGCAATGAGGACCATTGTCTCGCGTCTCAAGAGAGATGTGAATTTTCAATGCAGCGCATTTCACAAGTGTTCGGCTGTGCGTTCAGTTCAGTTGCATCTGTCCACTTGTTCAAGAATGTATTAGCTGCAAGAACTCCAGGCAAGAGCGTGCCAATTCTTTAGGGGGAGGGGGATAAAACCACGGTTTGTGTACGTGCGAAGTAAGTGTGTGTGCATATATACACATGTGGATTTGAAGATTTTCAGGGGGTCAGCGGGGAAAAGCGCCCACCCTTGCTGCGCCAGTGATTCCGAGCGCCCATGACAAGTGGCATGACAAGAATGACAAGTGGGCGATGCACTGGGGATCACTCTCATCGTAAATCACCCGTTGCATTGCTTACTCACACATATAAATAAGTTACGTGTGTGCAGTATATACCACATGTTCTTGTCGCCGAGCCAACGCTTCCCTATTGCCTTCTACTCCGGGGTAGCAGCTTTGTGGTCGACGTTAGAGTTTTGCCGCTGCTTCCACAGCTCTCGCCTCCGGTGTAGCCTGCAATCTGCGCAGGCGCTGAGCTGCCACTTCTCGGCATCACCGATTTGCCTTTCGCGGGCGAGAGCACTTTCACAATCGTTTTCATTCGTGGCCGAAAGAGTAGTAGTAGTAAGACAATTGGACACTGGCCCACGTCCACGCTGGGGGATCAGCCAATAACCTGGTGGATTTCAAGAAAAAAAACTTAACTATTTGATTAAATGTCGTTTTGGTAAAGCTGAAAGAAGTAGTAATGCAACAAAATTGCGAATACTGCAAATGAGTGCTATCATAGGTAGTAACTCTGAGCTGGGTAATTTAGGAAATATTTCGAAATTGAAATATAATTTATAAAATAGGTGCGCGAGTAGGCTCCACGATCTAAATCTATTTGAATATTTAATAAAACCATCCGAAGCATCGGCAACCTTCTCGTCATTCTGGCTCAGGGACAAAGCTCTGTACGCAAGCACATTTGGTAAATTTACATCTAGTCTAGGGAGTCGGCAAACGATACGCAAAACATTATTACGCAACATGCAATATCTTTTGTTGGGAATGAGATAATGTTTTGTTGTTTCATGTATACTCCTCCTAAAGAACGGTTGGGAGAAGCTGCCAGACCATCTCTGTGCAAATTAAAGTAAAGATATGGAGTCTGACAACGTAGTCCAGTGATTGCAACAAAAGTTCTATTGTTTCACATATTTTACTATACGTTACCCTCCGGGATAACAATCTGTTTTTTTTTAGCTTCTTGAAGACTAAACAGATAAAGACAGATGATCTGGGTCCCTGTTCTGCGACAAGAATTGTGTGAGCTCAGACCACGCAGAAGCAGCATTATTTATCTCATGAATGCATCCATATTGTTATGTGTGTTCTAATCTTACCGACACTTTCAATTGCAATCGTGTGATGTGACAATTTACTCAAAAACTGCACAAACGTCAGCACTGCAAATTTAAATTACGTGCACTGGGCACACCGTTTGATGATGACGCTTTGCCGATGGCGTCATCGCAAAAGCGACCACTGCTGTCCCAATTCTATCCTTCAAATTTGCTGCATAGAGTTTCTCATACTATATTACCTAGAGGGGAATGGCGCTAGTGTCTACGCGGGCTCCTTCAGCGGCACTAGTACGGATAGGGAATTATGGGAAGTACAAGCTTCGGATATCTGCTTCGGATGAATCACGTTCTTGAAAATCGCGAAGCCTGTTTGCCGATTGTCAAAGTGGTGTGAAGTTATTTTCAATCCAAAGCCTGGAACTCTATGGTATGCTGCATAAATAGAAGCTCAGTGGTTTGCTGTGAAGACGGCACACTGCCCCATTCCAATGCACCATACCGAAACGACGACTCGAGATCCTTATAGTCACTGCGCACAAACGAGGTTTCTAGCCACGATAAGAGGGATGTTAGCTACTTATTCTAGCAGAAAAACAAAACTTTCTTTGTAGGGCACGTAAAAGGCAGGACAAAACAAACTAAATTGCAGGGGTGGTAGCTTCCAACATGTTGCAGTAAGACGAAAAGTTTAATTGGGATTCATCGTGTGCGATGTTGGTCCTTACCTGTCCTGTGTTTCTGGTGTTGCGATGTAAACAAGTTCATGATGCACTTCCAACATTACGGTCTTTTACGTGCGCTACAGAGGAAATGAACTGAAGATGAGCTACCAAGCAGCCCAATAGGGCATCCTCCGAGAGAGAGAGAAAAAAAAGTAAAATTTTTATTTCTGCGTTGCTATTGTTATTGCAGTGAGAAAAATGGCCCTACAGATTGAAGACTTCTTCGGAACTACTGTCAGCATGCATTATGTATATAGCACAAACGTTGAGTGAAAACGTGTAACTTGAAATTATGCAGCCACAGTTAATCTCGGACAGCTTTTTGAAACAAAATTATATGTTTTGTGATGAATTGGAATATACTAATAGGTAATGGCGTAATAATAATAGGTGATAAATATTATATAAAATAATTTATCTAAAATAAAAGCGTCTTGCAGTGCCCTCTAAGAATTTTGCGTAGTTGGCGCAAAAAAGCCAGGCTTGTGACCTGCACTAGGACCCTGAGCGGTGTATTCAAACGGAAGCGGAAAGGTGACAACACGAGCCACAGAGGCACGAGCGCGTTTCGTCTTGGTGGTCGTGACACTGGTGGCACCACAGCGACCGAAGATAACACGCCGAGTGAGCCCAGTGCCCGAAACCACCCACGAAATGAGCGCGCCTCTGCAAACAGTAGCCTCGGATATCCGCAGCCTCTCCTCGCACCAGCGGACCATGTCGACGACGGGTGAGTGCTGGTCTCGTTGTCGCAGGTTTCAACAGTGCAATTGCACGTTATTGTAGCCGTTACTGTGGACATTTATCGTGTACTGCACTGCTCGAGGCGCTGCTCAGTGCGCCGCCCCCTATCCCGCAGTGTTGCGTGTTAACGGCTTTTTGAAATTAATGAGTTCTAGAATAGTGTACGCTAATTTGCGTTAGTGTTTGTCGCCACATACATGTGTCGTACGCTATCCTCTTGCGTACAGACGCAGTCGCGCTTGTTTAAAGCTCCCGGCGGCCATTCCTGCCACCGTTTTTTATAGACATGCGCAAAGCACGACGCCTTATCGAATATGGTCATACGGCGTGCTAGATAGTTGTGCCGTAATTCAAGCATGAACGGAAGCTTGTAGCTAACGTGATGTAGTAGCTGCAGACAACAGCGTCCTCAGCCTCGCGTTCCACTGCTGTAGAGGAGTTCTGTATGCACTCCCGCTAAGTGACGGAAAAGCGGAACTCCCATCTTTGCGTGCCTTATTCTAAGGCCCGTATTCACAGACCAACCTTATTCGTACCCCGCGCTTTCCTTGTAAACTTGGTGCGTTTGATGAAAAATGTAGGTCAGTATTCACAAGGAAATCGTGTATTTGTTTTTACGTTAACATTTCCGTGCCTTTATAACACACTTATAGTGCACACAAACCTCAGAAGCACGTCACATTACGATAAGGTGGATGTGTGAAAACAGGCCTAAAACTGCCTACTAGCTTCACACCACACGCCAGCTTCACGAAGGTGCTGTCATATAATGAAATGCGTTATAATGTTTGTCACCTCAAAGTATGCTATGACGGCAGAGGTTTAGTGCATAGAAGCTTGTATCAGAGCACATTGCAATTACTTGTTTTTAGAAACAGCTATGCTAGCTCAAGTTGCATTGGGAATGGTTCTACTTAGCGTTTAGCGCCTGATGAGGCTGTTTCGCAGCTGCGAAATGTGTCCTGTTTATCACATGATCAATTTTCGAAGTCACTGTAGCGTAGCACTCGTGGCAGCCAGCCAGCAGGAGAAAAAGACGAGCGCTGGTGGCTTCTGGTGTGTGGTTTGGAAAGTGTTCTGGCTCATGGCCAGGACAGACATATGGGCTACGAATGCTTCAATTTTTCGCTTCGCCAGTGTCTCAATGGAGCTGCGGCCTAGTCAGCCGCCTTTAAGTCCTCATGCATCTTGCATCCTTTTCAAATGCACTGCATGCAGTCAACACTTGATGTGCCATTGCTTGTATATCAAGCAATCTTTGTGCAGTGTGAATTTATTTTGTCTACAATGCCACGTCCTTCGCTCAAATAGCCAAATTTCCTGCTGTGAAAATTATTTCCCTGCTGAAACTGGAAACATTTCCAGCTGGCTTTCCAGTACGGATTTCCAGCTCTGTGCTCGAACTATCATTTCCAGCTGTTAAAGTGAAATCGTCAGCCTCAAAGACAGTGTTCACCTAAAACCAAACTAGAAAGAATATTCGCAGTTTAGAATTTGCATACCATTTTCATGTTGGTTCAAAAGTTATAAACATGGTTTGTTGTTTTATCTTTTAACGGTGCATTAACACAGGTAATAATGAACTATTACCTGGAGTTCTGGCCACCGCCACGGCTGTGGACTGCCACTGTTTTGTTCTTGGAGTGGCATGAAGCTTGTCTACTATTTTATACAATTTCGAAAGTGTGGTATCGCATGCCGTGCGGCAGATGCCGACGTACATATAGGTCTGCCATTAAAGGGAATACCTGCGTGCATGGCATGTTTGAATTTTGCTCTGTTGCAAAATCACAATGGCTTAGATTCGCATAAGACTAACAGTGATTGACAGTTCTGACTCCTCTTGACAGGCTAGTGCCATGCTCAAACACCGTTTCTTTATCCACTTGCTGCTAGAGGGCTTGAAATATGAAGTGGTTATTGTAGTGTACCCTTTAACACTGGATTGTACGGTACATCTTGAGTTAACTTTCTGTGTGGTTCTCGAGATTCATAGATCTAAGAAATTCTTTTCTTAAGTTCGAGAAATACCGGCATGTGATATGAATTTCATATCAAATATACATGCTATCTGTGCGTAATAAAATGGCACATTCATTATGTGGAGTGCATCACAGATATGAACCTATTCTTCGCAGAAACAGCGGAATGATCAAGTTATGTGGCCAGAGGCCACATAACTTATCTCGCTCTCCAAATCCAAAGCAATGTTGTCTCACCTAGAAAAGGTACAAATAAGCATAGACATGCGAATTGACCGTTTATAGCCAAGTTGTAGAGTTATAGACTGCAAGGCGCTGTATATGAAAGGCAGCTTCGTCGCAATACATTCAGATTGTGGACCTCAGTTTGCTGGCTTTGAACACTGCACAAGCATCACATATGCAGTGTGTTGAGTGGTACTGGCTTGTCTGGCACCACAGAAGGGGGAGCAAGTCTCTTTGCGCTGTCGTGTGTAGCTAACACAACAATGCCTGATAAGTGTGAAAAGGGTTATGGAAAGCATGCTTCCCTGTACGAATACGTGGCAAATGTCGGCGATTGTAATATCGGGGACACTTGGTGCACTACCGATCCTGGTTGAGGCTGATCAGGATCAGATTTCCCAAGTGACTGGCTCTGACCTGCGGCTTGTGTCAGAGACCCAATCATAATCGTGAAACTTCATTGAGATCAGGCACGATTGTGTTCAAAAGTGGTCACATGATACCGGCATAATACACCTTGATCTGTTGTCATTGCAGAGTTCGACATGGTGCACCCTATCGTGGCGAAGTCTGCGCTGATCCAAGGAAGGCGTCATGCACTCTCCGACAGGGTCAACCACAGTTTCTCTGGAAGGGTGAGTAATTTTTTTAATCTGTGTCATGCTGTAGACTGCAGAATCTGTGCAGGCATGACTGCAACTCGAAGTCATGCACTGCAATTCGAGTTGCAGTGCATGACTGCACTGCAACTCGAAGTCTAATGAAGCCATGCTCACCTGACTGAGGTGTAGCAGCCCCCACAACTTGAACACACAGTCTCTCTAATGTACATAGCCATGTTCTGCGAACGGGGCAGGGTAGGGGGGAGGGGCGTTCAGCGTCCACCTCACATCAGCCAGGTGTGTGCGTCTATTGGTTCAACCATAGAGGAAGAAATGCCACAGACTTATCAAGTTGTATTTGACTTAGGGAGGTTGTCTACTGTCATTTCTGAAAAAGGAACTGTTTTGCGACAAGGCAGAGGCAAGCAAACTGCACTGTTATCCGACCCCCCACAAGGCATGCTTCACTGTTAAATGGATGCTCTTTCCTCTTATGTCAGCGATAGTATCCAAGTACTCTCTTCTGATGATGTGCACATACACGACTTTTAAATAATGAGCCCCGCCTTTTCTGTTTGTTTTCCATTTTGCCTCACAGCGCATGTGTTTCCAGCTTGGCATGGACATAAGTCTGTGGAAAAATTGGAGCTCACTGAGACTCACTCAAGAAACGTAGTTTGCACCTAGGGCTCACTCAGACTCTGTGAACTTTTTCTACGCTTGACTTGCTCGGACTCGCACTCACGAACGTATTATTCAGACAGACTCGCTTGCACTTTGGCTGGTGGCTCACCCCGCCGTGGTGGTCTAGTGGCTAAGGTACTCGGCTGCTGACCCACAGGTATCGGGATCGAATCTCGGCTGCGGCGGCTGAATTTTCGATGGAGGCGGAAATGCTGTAGGCCCGTGTGCTCAGATTTAGGTGCACAATAAAGAACCCTAGGTGGTCAAAATTTCCAGAGCCCTTCACTACGGCTTTCTCATAATCATATGGTGGGTTTAGGACGTTAAACCTCACGTATCAATCAATTGGACTCGTGGCTTCATCACAGTCGGAGTGCGCATGAGTGAGTCGACTCTCAAGTCCATTGGCTAAGAATTAGCTGTTTTTGTCATGGTGTAATTGCTCTTTAACACCAATATCTCCCATTATCATCTGCTATACATGATGCCTTTTCATCTTTTACCGTCAAATATCAGTTATCAGAGGTCACTATCCAGTTAGGACATTTCTTTAAACTGAAAGTTGCGACTTGCACAAGCTATCATTATCACGAATTTCTCATACAAAAGTGTGCAGGGAGAGCTCGTGGCACTTCTAACTGACCCTTCCTATTAGTGAATGCTGAGGTGGCGCTTGTACTCTAGTTAGCTGAGGTACGTGTGAATAGGCACGAGTGTAAAAGTAAGCTCATGTAATGCTGATGGTAATCTTGAGGATGAGTAGATAGGACTGTAGGTGGGCAAAAAATGGGTGAGCTTGCTTTGATTCGCTAAAGAAATACTATATTACGCACTCAGGACTTGCTCGGGCGGAGACTCTCCAAAGACTTGTACAACCAGACTGACTTGGACTCGCAAAAATTTTCTTTAACTGAACTCTCTTGGACTCGGCAAAATATTACATACTCGAGCTCATTCACTCAGACTCGGGGCCCGATCGAAGTGAGCCTACTCATGAGCGAGTTTGCCGAGCTTTGTGAGTGTGTAGCACTTCAGATGTTCTCTAATGTGAACATTAATAAACCTTAAAAGTAGGCCTGTTTAGGTCTTCCTGATTACTCACCTGATATAGTTAATTTAGTTATTTTGGAGCTATAAATTGCTGTAGGCCCATATGCTCCGATTTCCGTGTGCGTTGAAGAACCCCGGATGGTCGAAATTTCCGTAGACTTCTATTACGGCGTGTCTCATAATCATATGGTGGTTTTAAGGATGTTAGACCCCGCATATCAATCGGTCATTTTTGGAGCTACATATAAAGCCTCCCTGCTGCTCAATGTACAGGTTAATCTGTATTAAAAAAAAAAAAAAACTGAGAGTGTGTTTCAAAAGCAGTAGTGCAGCAAAGGATTGACTATAAAAATTGACACGAACGCATATGGTACTGCGTTCAATGCTTCACTTCTTTAGTACAATGATCAGAACAAGCTGTACTTTGTCTTCATTTAGTTGTCTCCCAGTGCCTTGCCATCATGCTGTACAACAAAGTGGGCTGCTGTTAAACATGGCACTAATTGTTTGTTGCTGCCAACTTATCGGCACATGAAACATTCAGACTGCTTTTAAGCAGTGTGGGAACCTGCTGCACACTTGGCTTAATCGTTGGAGTCGCATTGCTGGGAAGCAAACAGATAATTAATGATGCCGAAATTGCATGGGGTGAAATGCTTGTTAGGATAATTTAAGTGGGCAACAAATAAGCAAATGATTTGAATAAGAAAGCACTCCTCACACAAAGAAGCTCCTCACACGAAGAAGCTCGACCTATTCCTTGCTTTTAACCTGCAATGATCTTAGTTATGCTACTAAAATGCTATTTTCCAATCAATTCACTACTGTTTATGATTACTAGATTTGTTTTTTTTTTTTTTAAACCTGGTCAGTAGTGATCAAATCTGAAGTACATGACTCTACAGTACTTAAAGATAAACTTGTGAACCACATTTTTTCATGCTTTTCAAGGTAGCTACCGGTTGTCTAAGCTTCGTGGGGTGCCGCCCCAATGCTGTCGTTGTGCTCAAAGTCATCACCATATCTCCTCAGTGGCAACCTTATACTGTTTTTATAGCAAGACTGTTTGCTGGCCATGTTGGTAATTAAATACATAATTTAGTGACTGATTAGAACACACACAAAGTGACGAACACAGTGACAGGATGAACGGCTCGTGCAAGTGTTTTGGGCGTTAACCCAGAAGTAAACACAGCATACATGTGCAGCCTCGTCGCAGCCTGGGCTATGTGCACTGTTGAACACATCATTTGGCCTTCAAATGCATCATGCACATTTATGCACGATTCTTGAGTGGACAACTTTTACTCACTTTGCTCCATTCAGCTGCATATTGCTGCAGAGGATCACTTTTGCTAAAGTCACCACAATGTTCACGGTGCCACATTCCAGGATCAGTGCTACATTTCTGGCTTGTGCTTACTCGAAATTAATACACTAACTGGTAATAAATCATCATCCTATTTTGGGCCCAGATTTGATTATTGCTGCACAAAAATAGAATGCTGACGGACTTGAGACTAAATACATCTCTAATTATACCCTAATTAGGATTGATAACTACAAATCATCAAGGTACTATTTTCTCTTTCTTTCTGTAGAGTATCAAGTGCTGTGGGATGTAGTGCGAATTGTGCAGATTGAGCCATTTCGCCATAATTCACACCTGAAGGGGATGTAGTCGAGCGCTGGATGTTGTCATTGCCAACCATTCCTGTACTCTTTCGCTCGGCTTTGCTCTACGTTAAATACAGGATGTTTTACTACTCGTCGAAATGGCTGATTGGGCGAGTTGGTTAAGTTACACGCTCGTATTTCAAGCAAGCATGTTTTAACTCTTCTGTCAGATAACTCGAAACATAAAGGGCTTGTATTCTGAAACTACCATGGAAGGCGAGTGAGTCACTTTTCGCGTCGAATCTGATGTCTCCAATAACTAAGTAAACTACTTGCCTGTGCTGTACAAGCGCTTAGCAACTGCTAGCGAGGCGCTTTCGTGCATATAGGTACTGGCTTCCACACTGTGGCCAGGTTCGGTTTGGACTTGAAATATGAGTTGAAAGTGCTTTCAATGTTTCTTCTGTAATTGTTTAAAGCACAGTATAATATTCAAAGGATGCAGCCTTCTGTAAAATGTATTTTTGAAATGACTTCAGCATGGCGTACTTGGAGAGTTCAGCTATGACGTAGTCTCAGCATGTTGCTAGTGCACCGTGCGAGGAATGGCCGGTTCATGCTGCTGGCATGTTCAAATAACAAAAATCACAATCTTGCAAAACGATTTTTTAAATGCACGCCAAGGTAGTGCTCGCTGTTGTGCACATTAACCAAGGATTGCCTTCTAGAAGCTATAGTCTGTGTCACTGAAATGCTAGACTTCACCACCAAGCGATGGTTGTAAGGGGTGTTTGTTTATTCTAGACATGTCAAAGCACTGTGGAACGCATTCAAATTGACAGAAATATACCATATGGCGCCCTTACTTTTTCAAATTTGCTCCATAGTGAATCGCTCCAAAGGCGACACTTTTCAATTGTTGCCTTTTGCGATCGTTTCACAATGCAGAACCAGCACTATTCTCATCTTATCCCTGGTCAACTAGTCTGAATATGCTACCAAATGTTCGGGACATGGATTCAGTAGCTCTTCTGTTTCACGCCGCGGTGTCCTTCAGATCCACCCAGCTTTTCTCGCATGCAGGGGCTCTTGCAGACAGAGCACCTGCCAGGGTGATGTACAGTGTACGGTACACATTTTGAGTATGTTGAACTAGTGCAATCGGGAATTTGATTGAGGGCTTCAACTACCGCCCCCATTGCTGACATGATCACAGCTCAAGGCAGCCACTGGCAAGTCTGAGAAGCATTGGGATTGTGAGTATTGTGAAGCTCTCAAGAAATGTGTAACTGTCAGTTGTGCTATTAGATGCAACTCAACAGAATTTCAATTTTGAGTATACAGGCTTGTCCCGTCACGGTAATCTAGTGGCTAAGGTACTTGGCTGCTGACCCGCAGGTGGTGGGATCAAATCCCGGCTGTGGCGGCTGCATTTTCGATGGAGGCGGGAATGCTGTAGGCCCGTGTGTTCAGATTTGGGTGCACGTTAAAGAACGCCAGGTGACCGAAATTTCCAGAGCCCTCCACTACGGCCTCTCTCATAATCACATGGTGGTTTTGGGGCCGCACATTAAACCCCACATATCAATTAATCATCAATGAGTATACAGGCTTCATTGACCTAGGAAACTCCAGTGCGTCAAAGCATTCACAACCATAAAGTTATTTCTCTAAGTAGGGCAGTGTGATTTGGAACTCCTGTTGGCTGACGATTCTGTGTTTGACAATCCTTGCTCTGCAGGCCCTCGGTGAAAAGACGAGCAGCGTGGACCAAGGGCCATCGCCTACAGTTTGCTCCAGTGGTGAGCTCAATTATTTGAGCAGATATGGAAAGTTTGAGAAAATAGGAGAAAACAAACGTTAAATTGGTGTAGACCGAATAAGTAGTTCCTTAAAACTGTGGTTGCAATAATGTTGCTGTTGAAGCTGGAGGCTTTTTTCACTTCACGCTTTTGTGACCGAAAAATAGCATGTTTCATAATAAAAAGAAGAACCAAGGAGGATATTTGATATTTCTCCACTATTTCTTTACATTGGGTTCTATACTCTTCTGGAGCAAAAATTTGTCAATCTTATGTGCAAAGCGTCACACATATGATTGTTTAAAGAATGAGTGGAGCGACATATATCTGTGATCACTGAGCCACAGAGTATTGCTTGCACTCATGGCCACAACTTCGCATGTTATGCACTAACAACTTTGAAATGCACAAATAAGCCATTTAGGGTATTTAAAGCTTGTCATTGGGTATTCAAAATATGTCAAGTTTTGAATGCCTGATGCATGTAAACAGTATCTGTAGAAATCATCTCAGATCAAAGATAATGACTCTGCAAAATGCGTAAGGAGACCTTTATTATCATTTCTTTCATAGCTAACAGCATAACCTGCCAAGAGTTCAACAAACCGCAGAACAAGCCCAGAGGACGAGTTGCAGTTGCCAACAGTGAATGATTACTTTCGTCAAGTTTAGTGTATATTTTATGTGGGTTACAAGGGTGAAAATACAGTATGCTATAATTCAAGTGGGTTGGTTGATCATTGGAGAACAAAAAAAGTCACAGCTTTGCCGCAAAGGCGAAGCATTGAATGTGATAGCAAAAAATTAACAAATTGGAAGGTCACTCGAAGAATGGCAAGCAGATTGAAACGCGCCCAGTGTTTCGATCTTGGCTGTGGCACGAGAAATCGGGTCGCATAGTTCAAAGTGCTTTGTTCTAATATTAGAAAGGAAAGCAAACACAACTGTAAACAAAGCCACGAATGTGTTTGAAACCTGCAAGCAGGAAGGCTAGACAAATATGTGTACTACCTATCATTCCCCATGGTCGCTGAATGAGCGCTGCACCAGAGTCCTCTCTAGTTAACTTAAGGAAACTCTATGGTGGTAGTCCAAAACGAGATTGCTCGCAGTGAATATGTGTGCTTGAAGGGATAAACAATGATAGAACGAGGAACATTGCTGAACTGAACATTTTGTCTTCAACAAGGCAGCGGACAAGACCCCAACGTTTTTTATTCTATCACTGCTCATCATCACTTGTATTTATGAAAAGTGTTATGTAAAACCCAAGATTGTTACCCTCAGCATATTTCTAGGCTTGGGTGCATATTCAATGCTTTGAATATTCGAAGGAAATAATGCAGTATTTGAATTCACTTTGAATCTAAATTATTGAAAATTTCAAATTATTCAAGACGAACAAAAGGTGCATATTAATCCGCGTGTAACATTTTGTAGAAGTGGTTTCATTGCAGTGGAGGGGTGCAAAGCTGTGAAAGCATCTTTCCAGGTATACCTTCGTTCACATTTTGTATAGTTTCTTAAATATACACTAGAAGGAGCTCTGGCGCTAGTGTGTATACGAGCTGTAATGCACGGCTCTTCAGGGAGCACGGGAATGATAGGTAGTACACGGATTTGTCTAATCTTCGTACATCAGGCTTTGTTTAGGTTTGCGTGGCTTGAAGCTGTTTTTCTATGAAACAAAAATCTGCAAATGTTCAGCAGTTGCGCTTCAACACCTTATTATTTTAGGATTAAGATTTCAAATCTGGTCCCAAAGCTCAAAAGCGTTCGTTTTGTCCTTCAAAACAAAACCGAAACACAGTAATAAACGAAGCCACAAGTGCGATCCGCCGCCCGCAAGTATGAAGACTAGGCAAATCTCTGTACTACCCATCATTCCAATGGTTTCTGATCGATCGTAGTGCCAGAGTCCCGTCTAGTTAATTTTGGGAAACTTCATGTCACATGTAACTTTTTGTAAAAGTAGCTTCACTGCTGTGAAGTGGTGCGTGAAAACGCGTATTCAGGAGAACTGCATACTGGCGCGAAGCCCCACCTCAAGGTTATATGAAGATATTTCCTTCACATTTATTCATTTTTTTTTTCATTTTCAGTTTAAAAGCTCATTATACGGCTTATAGACTCTAAGTATAGCTAATTTCAAAACTTAACATATTTTACAGGCTATCACTCGCATTCTATGGAAAGTCAATTCTGCTACTATTCGCTATGGAAAGTCAAATTCTGCTACTATTCGAAGTTCTTTCCACTTCCTTTGATGCAAAAAAAATGGCATTTGCACGGGCTTTGTTTGAATTTTCAGGAAATATCGTGCAGGTTAGTTTGGTCATGGCAAATGTGCCCCTCTTTCTATACAATACTATGTGATATATACACTATTCAAATTAGCTTCAAAATTATGCGACCAAATTCACTATTTGCCCAAGCCAACATATTTGGTCCACCACAGTTGCTACTATTCTTGAAGGCCATGCCAAGGAGTCGTTGTCGTTACTAAAATTCTGGGTTCGTTGACCTCTACAAGGGATATCTCTGCAGCAGCTTTCTCCTCATTTATTGAAACTGCCCTTTTTTTTTTCATGGCTAACTTTGAGAAAAATTTTATCGTTGATCTATTGCAGCAGATGGGACCAAGCTGCGCCCTGTGGAAGTTCACAGTGCCACAGCACGAACATGCCTGACTGTGCCAAATCCCGAACCTGTTGTGCCAGTTCCAGAGGACATTCCTCAGGTGAGGTGTATCGTTACCGCAATTAAAAAGACTCAAGATTCTTAGTGTATTCACTTAAGATGACTTGCTGAAAGCCATCTCCTTTTTTCTGCTGGGTTGATGTATAAGGGGGCAGGGAGCACGAGCTGTGGCCTCATGGGCCACTGCCAAGCGCCTTCTGTATTTTCTTCGCTTGAGGTTGCGCGATGTCTGGTATCGTCTGCCGCCAAAAGAATTGCTATTGCGCTACGGCGGCATCGTCTGGCGTTACGTCTAATGATGTCGCGCCAGAATTTGTGCCACATGGTGTTGTGATCACGTGATAATGATACTTTTTGCATCACTCGTCAGAGATGCTGAAGAACAGCCACCGCCACTAGTCAAATTTCATGTTTGAATAGGTGTCTAAGGCTTTTATTTTAGGACAACCGCTCAGCTTGTGTTCCCTTAATCCGTTCATTATTATTTACGCATATGTAGCTTTCCTGTCCTGGATGTAGCATCAAAAGTACTGCCACCGATATCACTGGAGGCTTCTGTGCCTGTGTAGGGCGAGCCAGAAATGATGTTTATATGGTCACCTACTACAGTTCTTGGGGTACTTAAACTTTAACTTCTTCAGTATGTGTGACCCTATTTGGGGTCATCGATTTGAGCGAGCACATCTAATAGTGGAGAAAACATATATATTTTTTTATCTGCAAAGTGAATTTTTCGCGCAGAGATTATTACTTTATGCTCAACGTCATTTTGGTCACCTGTGGTTCATAACCGGTTTTAATATGCCATTTTCCAGCAGACATAACTTTTATGTCATCACAGTTAGTAATTATTGCTTTCTTCAGGCTCTCATGGTTTATTTTACTCAGTCTAGGTGACAGCACTACTGAAGAGCCTCTAACCAAGTTGTGATTAATTTTTGCACATAATCTGTGTTTGAAATTGCAGTTAGCAGCTGCTTGAAGTAAATAATGTAATTCCATTTAAGTAAAGTGAGGCAATAAGTTTTTAGTTATTGAGAATCCTAAGTAAACATTCAGCAATTTTTTGTATGGTCAAGAGCAAAATAAGGGTTTAAAATAAGTAGAGCTAATATTTCCTTCTTGGGACTTGAAAATTTACTGCTGTCTCTTCTGTAGACAAACTGTGCTCCTTCACAGTGAAACGTCAACTAGCATGGTGCTGCATTCGAGCTACCCTAACTCGCATTGCACGGTTCTCTTTTGATTCGACAGGCAGGGCACTGAAAATGTTAGGATGCATTTGTAGCATTCTTTTGAGCCGTGAAACTGATAAACCGTAGCTAACTGGAGTTACAAAGCTTGCAAAATACGTAAGCTTTGTGTTTGAGTGCAACGAGATGGCATTCTGGGCCTCGTTGTCATTTTCTGCCGGTGCACTAGCCATGCTTCATTTCTGAGTGGTCTAGTGGTCGTGGTGCCAGACTGCCAACTTCCGGGATGCGGGATCATATCCTGGCTGAGGCGGCTGCATTTTAGATGGAGGCGAAAACGCTTGAAGCCCAAGTGCTTTCATTTACTAGGTGCCCTGTTTGTCGAAATTTGCCCCGGCGCGGTGGTCTAGTGGCTAAGGTACTCGGCTGCTGACCCGCAGGTCGCGGGATTGAATCCCGGCTGCGGCGGCTGCATTTCCAATGGAGGCGGAAATGCTGTAGGCCCGTGTGCTCAGATTTGGGCGCACGTTAAAGAACCCCAGGTGGTCGAAATTTCCGGAGCCCTCCACTACGGCGTCTCTCATAATCATATGGTGGTTTCGGGACATTAAACCCCACATATCAATCAATGTTTGCCGAAATTTCCGGAGTTCATCATTATGGCATCCCACATATTCTTGCTGTGGTTTAAACATGATAGTGCTAAAGAGCATGTTTCGCGAAAATTCGGGCGTCAGTGTGAGCGTCGTTGGTGGCAAGCAAAAAATATTGTGCGTGACCAAAAAATGAAAGAAGATGCAAATAAAATAAGTAATACAAATTTCCGGATCTGAGTGAGGATCAAGCGAGGGTGGCAAGCAGGTGTTCTACCACAAAGCCACAAGATTTGTTGAAACTGCTTTGGAAAAAGGCACTATGTATGTTGTGTAGGGGAAAGAGATTCCTTAACACATTATATATTGTGTGGGAGAAGTTGGAATTGTGCCAGGCATTGGAAGATGTGAATTGAGCAAAGAGTGGGTATTCTAAAAGCCCATTCATTGCAAAGCACTCAGACATATGTACTCAATCGTCATCAGCACCAAAACCATAGACAAGGTGAACAGCTGCGGCGTGTTGCTCTATGGACATGTGGGGCACCTTCGCTGATTGAAAAAGAAATATTAATTATGTAGTGTACTTGCAAAATGCATTCAGTGATGCCTTGAAACCGCCAATGTTACGTGCACAGTTGTTCATTGCCTACGACACTACTGAGGCATGCACGAAGTATTGAAACGGGTCAACAGTTCAGCAGGAGATGGGTGGGAGGCCCAATCACACTGTTGTGCCTTACTCTTGAAGGTGAAGCTAAAGTATCCTTGAATTTTGGGGGCATAAAATTCCAGCTGATATTACTGGTTGTCAAGCACCTTCGTGTGCCTGCTTGTCCATCATAAAGAGGGTGCTTGCCACGAAAATTGGCTAAATTCCACTACTCGCGACCGGTCCGACGAAAATGAAGGCAACAGCCCAACAAATAGCCGATGACTTTAGCGCAGCAGCAACTCCCTTCCCTGCATGCCCAGTTTCAGGCTTTGTGCCACTAGTGCCTCGTCAAAGCAATCTCTCAAAATGGTGCACGCTTCACCCCTCCCCAGGTTTCGTGTTAGTCGAGCTCAAACACCCTTCCTGCATGCTTTGTTTCTCCTCGGTTTTCTTCATTATTATCCCTTCTCGGTGTACACATCGGCCACTACACGGGTAAAGGGAATCGACGATTTTTTGTTTATGGACAACTCCGCAGACACCTAAATTTTGGCGACACAGGCTCTGTTTGGCGCATTGCATTGAAAATTCCATCCTCCGTGCATGCGTGGCGCATGCATTCTAGACACAGCTGTGTTCAGAATGAAATAACAAAACTACAGTCTCTTGTCGAGGCTTCCTCAAACTTGCATAGTGAAAAAGCGCCTCTGTACGCCAAATGTGGCAGCAACACAGACCGGACACGTCCCGCCGCGATGGTCTAGTGGCTAAGGTACTCGGCTGCTGACCCGGAGGCCGCAGGATTGAATCCCGGCTGCGGCGGTTTCATTTCCGATGAAGGTGGAAATGTTGCAGGCCCGTGTGCTCAGATTTGGGTGCATGTTAAAGAACCCCAGGAGAGACCCACAACTTAAGGCGCTTCACCCCTAAAACCTGTAATATTCCCTTCTGCATGCTCAGGTTATAAAATCCGTAAAAAACTGAATGTTGTATGACAATGATGAAGGTTGGGGTATTTCTTTAGAAGTCTTTTTACTTAAAAAGTACTTTTGTTTCAGGCCGAGTGCATATGTCTGAAAATGTGGGATATGCATGAAACCATGCATCGCTTACATGATCTGTGTCATTGTTTTAAGGTTTCACAGACACGAAGGTCGTCTTCGTAATCCGTGAAGTGTCGTTTTCAGCTACTTCGATGATAATATTATATTTGGCAATACTGACGTTCACCGCCAGGGTCTTGATGAAATTCAGATATCATTCAGGCAGCAGAGTATGGGTCTCGCTTTTATTCACGAAGTCCCTTAAATGAACTATCTAGAGCTTCTAGACCCACGACTTCCTTCTGTGAAAATTATGCGTGCTGGAATGAGCCCTCCACTACGGCGTCTCTCATAATCATATGGGGTTTTTGGGATGTTAAACCCCACATATAAACCAAATCAACGTAGACCGGCATATCTTTTCATCATTGGATTGGGCGAGGATTCGAAATGATTGTGTGTGTGAGGCCCCGCCGTGGTGGTCTAGTGGCTAAGGTACTCGACTGCTGACCTGCTGGTCACGGTGTCGAATCCCGGCTGCAGCGACTGCATTTTCGATGGAGGCGAAAATGCTGTAGACCCGTGTGCTCCGATTTGGGTTCACGTTAAGGAACCGTAGGGGGTGGAAATTTTCAGAGCCCTCCACTACGGCGTGTCTCATAATCATATGGAGGTTTTGAAATATGAACCTGACATATCAATTAATTCGGTGTGTGTGTGTGTGTGTGTGTAAACATTCCCACTACGACGGTGTAGTGGTTTCGGTGCTAGACTGCTGGCCCAAAGTAGTGGGTTTGAATCCTAAATTGGCAATTAATTTCGCTATTGTAGTGTTTTGTTACAGTGAAATTTATTATGTCTCGTGACATTTTCTGTAATGTGCAGTTCAGATTCACGAGTTAAGAATCGGTATGTCTTTATTGTGTGATGTTGGTTTGGAAGTTCACCTTGCTGTTTTCAAGACTGCCTCTGTGCTGCTTGCTGCAGAGTCCTGAAGAGAAGGCTGGCGACCTTTCCATGGAAGTGATGCACAACAAGCTCGATTGCTCAGGTAGGCTGACTTCTGTAGCAAGGCCTTGTGCAACTTCTTTCAAATAAAATAAACATCCAGACCACATTGATGGGGGACTCTAAACAAAAGCGTCCACGTGTCAGGTCTTCGAATTTCCGCTAAGGTAGTCCCTGTGGCTTTTTTTTTCAAATGGGAAACTTTTTAGCAAATCGTTCCTTGTCAGATGAACTAAAAAGCTATCTTAACGAGTATGTGCCACAGAAGTAGTGTAAATCCTAACTACTCGCCACATGTCCACTAAGATAAGGCAACACTTAGCCAAACAACAAATGGCTGTGAAGCGAAGGGCGGTGAGCCAAGGACAAGATAATACTAGGTACTGGGAAAAACATCGGCAGCTGCGAGAGGCTCCAAAGTGACAGTTGATCTACGTTGATGATGACGTGCCCGTGTCGTGTCTGTCACTATCTGCGGTTTAAATCGAACTTCTTTGAGCTGAAAATCGACGAAAAAACGACCTAGCTAAAGCCTAGCAACAACTTAAAAGCAACCTATAAGCTGCATCACTTATAGCTAAGGCCTATAAAGACCACCTAGAAGCTACCTGATCAATCTTCAGAATCATGCACGTCCAGTTTCGCTGTGCAAGGCTTCCGTGGCTGAATGCATGCTGTTGCTTTTTTTGGGGGCACTTTTTGGCCTGCTTTGCACCTTATGACTTTACGGCCATAAGTTTGTCTCATGGAGTCGGCAAACCATTATATGCACCCAGTGTCTATTATAGAGTCATCGAGGGGGGGGAAGGAGGAGAGGGGTTATGTCTAGTGGTTTCTGTGAAGCTGATTATTCAGTGAGGTAGAGGTGCCAGCTGATTCGATGAACCAATTTGACGTAGCCTCGAACATTTCAGCCATACATTGCTTGCATAATTTGACAGAAAGACAGTTAAAATACACTGTACTGTTGTTCACTATGCTCGTTAAAAGTCCTAACCAAGGGAGCCAGTTCTATCTATAATAAGCGGATTATGGCTCCTTTTTTTCTTTTGTTGCAGAGTCTGTTGTACAATTTTCTGGTCACCTGCTGTGTTTTTCGTGCTTACGAGCATTTTCCCAGGAAATATGTAGTCATTTTGGTGATTATCACAATCACCAGTAGCACTTCGCTTGATCACTTTATGTAGTTGAGTGTTGAAGTTCAACATACGTTGAGGGAATCGACAAATAATATTAACCATGCACTGGCAAACACGCATTCAAACAAATGGAGAGAACCTTGAAGGCAATGTTAAAAGGTAAATACGTGTTTTTATTCGTAATTGCACATACTTTAACTGTAGAAAATGGAATTTTTTTTCAACTGTCTGTGGTACTTCAGTGACAAATTTTTTATTATGAATATATTTCCTACAGTGAGAAAAATTCAAATTGTCGTTTATTTTGGGCTTCTTTGCAAAAGTTGTGCCATTTTTTTCGTAGCTTCTTTCCTGCTGATGTGCTTTTTTACCACGGTAGCATCTTGCAACTATCTGGTGTCCTTATAAGGCCGTTGCAAGAGAAATGAAATCATTCGCTAGGTGGGTTGTCCAAATGGGAAGCTGTATGCGTTTCCATTTAAAGAATTTATCGCATGAGATGTGCATGCGGTGAAAATTCTGTGCTCAACATGGATATTGTGTAGAGGTTCCAGCAGGCAATACTTGTGTTCCTATATTTATTGAAACCTTGAAAGCTATAGCTCATTCATGTGAAGGTAATGTCAGCAATGGTATGCCAAGGCTAACGATCTCATGGGGACTATGTAGCTTTTATTTAGTAATTAGCCGGGCCTTCTGAAGAGCTCAGCGGAGCGATTTGATATTACAGGCATATTTTAGATGAATATAGGCACTTTTCGGCTCAATCCGTGGACCTGCTTTCTGTCAACGCAGTCGTAGAAATCCTACAATACGAGCCACATTAGAACTTTGATGTATTTGATAAACATGCGAGTTTGTGGCTAAGTAATGTGCACATTTTGATTTACATCAACTCTGGATCATGTGTTGTCTGTGCTACTTTGGCTTGCACACTGATAAATCGGCCCATTTCACCTTTTGTGATTCCATTCTTCGCACCGAAAAATTGTGCTTGCTTCGTTGCATGTATGGAGTGCTCTGGCTAATGTTTCTGCAAAATAAACTTTTTGACACGGTAGCAGGCATGCATTTCGGTTCTGTTGTTTCCAGGGTGCTGTTACAGTGTACTAGAAGGGGTACTGCTGTCAAGTTGTCGCCGAGTGTGAGCGCTCTTTACCTCGCTGATACCGCTAGTTTTCCGCATCTCGACCCGTTCGCCAAGCCTAAGTCGATCTGTTCTTTCACCATGAGTAGCGTACGGCGGCAGGCCTTCACGGCACAGCAAAAGCTTAAGATCAGTCGTCGCCGAGGAATTCGGAAATCGCGCAGCGGGAAGACGGCACGATGTGGACGAGTCCTGCGTGAGACTGTGGAGAAGGAAGAAAGAGGGCCTACAAGCCGCGCACCGCGACCGTAGGTCATTTCGTGGCCCCAAGACCGGTGCCTACCCTTAGCTGGAGGAGGAGCTAGTAAAGTTCATCGAAGATGTGAGAAGCAGGGGTCACGCCGTATCGACTGAGATGGCCTAAGTGGAAGCGCAGAGACTTTTGAGGGAGCTAGTCCTACCTCAGGAGTTCCGTGCGAGCCGCGGATGGCTGCACCGCTTTATGAAGCGGCAAGGGCTCTCAATCAGACGGCGGACTACAATATGTCAACGCTTGCTGGCTTCTTATAAGGAGAAGCTGCTCAAGTACCAGAGATATGTAATTGGCCTGAGAAAGCGGCACAATTACATTTTCTCGCAAATCGGCAATGCGAATGAAACTCCTGTTTATTTTGAAATGCCGTTGGACACGATTGATTTGAGAAGACGGGCAGCAGTTCGGTGAGCGTGCTGACCGGCGGGAACGCGAAACTGCGCATCACAGTCTTGCTTTGAGCCCTCGCTGACGGCACGCACCTGTGACCGTACTACATCTTGAAAATGAAAACTCTACCAAAGGTTCATTTGCCCGCCCATGTGGTGGTGCGTGCACACGAGAACGCGTGGATGAACAGTGACTTGTTCGTAGACTGGATCAAGACGGTATGGGAGAAGAGGCCCGATGCGATGCTTGCAAAGAGGTCCATGCTCGTTCTTGACTCCTTTTATGGCCACACAACTGAGGAAGTAAAGCGCCGCCTTTCACGCAACGGCAGCGACTTAGTTCTTATATCCGGTGGAATATCGTCAATGTTGCAGCCTCTGGATGTGTCGCTTAACAAGCCCTTCAAAGCGCATGTTAAGCGCTATTACGCCGAGTGAATGGCCGAAGGCTGCTACGACTTGACACCGACAGGACGAGTCCGAAGGCCTGATATTGCCCTATTCTGCAAGTGGATTGTCGAGGCATGGAAGGCCATTCCAAGTGAATTGGTGCGAAAAAGTTTCAAGAAACGCTGCACCACAAACAACATAGATTTAACCGAAAATGACCTTGTGCATAATAGTGAGGACTGCGGCTCAAGTGATAGCTCTAGCAAGAGCAGCGACAGTGAGTGAAATGTGACTGGCCTTGCAGACAGTGTATTCCGCTTGCTAAATAAAGCTTTTTCTGTCTACATATGTGCTATGTTGCTTGAGCAGTAGCTTCTGTACAGCCTTTCCTGTATATCAAATGTGCGGGCAATACGCGAGGATTTTTTTTTTTCCTCTGTGAGCTGAAAGTGGGGCTGCGGATTATATGCAGGGGCGGGTTATACGTGCAAAAATAGGGTAAGCGGATTTAGGCTTTTTCTTCTTTTTTTTTTTTGTTGCAGAGTCTGTTGTACAATATTCTGGTCACCTGCTGCGTTTTTCGTGCTTACGAGCATTTTCCCGCAAATATATAGTAATTTTGGTGATCATCACAATCACCAGTAGCACTTTGCTTGATCACTTTATGTAGTTGAGTGTTGAAGTTAAACATGCGCTGAGGGAATCGACAAAAATTGTTAACCACGCACTGGCAAACACGCATTCAAACAAATGGAGAGAATCTTGAAGGCAATGTTATAAGGTAAATACGTGTTTTTATTCGTAGTTGCACATACTTTAACTGTAGAAAATGGAATTTTTTTTCAACTGCCTGTCGTACTTCTGTGACAATTTTTTATTATGAATAAAATTCTATAGAGTGAGAAAAATTAACATTGTCATTTATTTTGGGCTTCTTTGCAAAAGTGCCATTTTTCTCGTAGCTTCTTTCCTATTGATGTGCTTTTTTACCACGGTAGCATCTTGCAACTATGTGGTGTCCACATAAGGCCGTTGCAAGAGAAATGAAATCATGCGCTAGGTGGGCTTTCCAAATCGGAAGCTGTATGCGTTTCCATTTAAAGAATTCATCGCATGAGATGTGCATGCGGTGAAAATTCTGTGCTCAACATTGATATTGTGTACAGAGGCTCCAGCAGACAATACTTGTGTTCCTATATTTAGTGAAACCGTGAAAGCTATGTCTCATTCATGTGAAGGTAATGTCAGCAATGGTATGCCAAAGCAAGCGATCTCATGGGGACTATGTAGCTTTTATTTAGTAATTAGCCGAGCCTTCTGAACAGCTCAGCGGAGCCATTTGATCTTACTGGCTTATTTATGATGAATATAGGCACTTTTCGGCTCAATCCGTGGACCTGCTTTCTGTCATCGCAGTCGTAGAAATCCTACAGTTTGAGCCACATTAGAACTTTGATGTAATTGATAAACATGCTAGTTTGTGGCTAAGTAATGTGCACATTTTGATTTAAATCAACTTTTTATCGTGTGTTGTCTGTGCTACTTTGGCTTGCAAACTGATAAATCGGCCCATTTCGCGTTTTGTGGTTCCATTCCTCGCACCGAAAAATTGTGCTTGCTTCGTTAGGTGTATGGAGTGCTCTGGTTATGTTTTCTGCAAAATAAACTTCTTAAAAATGGCTTATGCACTGTAGGGTTTTGTGGGATTGCGCGAGGCATTTGCTTTCCCACATGCTTTATTGATGGCAACCACTGACGCTGTTGTTCCTGCAGCATCTTCTTCTTCTAGTGCTAGGCTCAAACAGGCTTTGCAGCAACAGAAGTCACCAGGTACTCATAAGGATTGCTTTTTCGCACACTGGCTCCCTCGCTAGAAGGGGCCCTGCAGCGAGCAGTCAGCATCTAGGAGAGGACGACAGTTACGCCTTACCTGCTCCGAACGTTCAAGCCTAGCCTGAGATATGAAGACGTCCGCAAGAAAGACATTGGGGTGTTCCATCACAAGACAAGCATCGATAGAACATGTGGGAAGCCAACGTCTCGAGTTTTCCGGCTAGTGGTGACTCGTGCGTGATTCAAACCCGCAACCTTTGGACATACAGTAGACTCTCAGTAAATGGAACCTGAAGGGACAGGGAAAATATGTTCCATTTAACACGAGTTCCGTTTACTGAAAGGTGAACATGGGTGGAGAATACAAGCCTAAAACCAAGTATTGCAGAGGGAATAGTTCAGTTTAAGCAGTAGTTCTTTTTAACAGATTTCCATTAAGTGAGAGTCTACTGTAGTTTGAATAAACGATACGATGACGTAGTTCAACGATTCAAACATGCAACCTTTGTGATGCTGGGTAAGCTTAAATGTCGGGTGTCCGTTTCGACATGCCCCTTACTTTGCTAAAGCACTTGCCTTCATATTTGACTGTCTGCAGATGAGCTTTGTGTGCTGTCAGAGGAGCCTCTAGCTGTGGCGGATGATGCTGTGGAAGACAGCTGGCTGTCTTCTATCGCTGCGCCTGGCATGGACCATCTCGGTGAAGGTGCGTCTCTGCGGTTCTGGTGGTGGCTTAATTCAGAGCTCGATATCGCACCACTCTTAGACCTGACATTGCGGCCTTTCTTTGCTGAATTCGATTAGATTAAAAATGCATTAGCTTGGAAGTAAATGCAAGATAAAATACAATAGCAATACAGTGGGGAATAAGGGGTGAGGTTTATAATAACACTGTCATATTCATTCGAATATTGTTACGAGTGAATGTCGTGTAAAATATGTTGGCATTACAACAGGGGACAGGGGTGAGGTTTATATAAGGTCTGTTCAAGTTATGCAAATATAGTATAGTTCATTCAAGTTACGCAAACATAGTATCCTGTGGCGCAAACTCTGGCGCTGTGATTGTTCAGCCGCCGTGGGAATGATGGGTGCTATACAAATATCCGCCTAATCTTCGTGCTTGCGACTCCGACTGCACTTGTGGCTTTGTTTGTTCTTGTGTTTTCACGTTTGTTTTGGATAGAAGAATAGCTTGTTGTCAACATTTAGACGGATCTGAATATTGTGCATGCATTTATTCCACGTGCAAGAAGTGCATGATGGTCATGAGACCATCGGG